GAGAAGTTGCAGTTCAAATGATGACCCACAGTTTCTAACTAAAAGGGTGCAATTCGCAATTATTTCGGTTTTTCTGATAATAAAAAAAATATTCTATTCGTTTTGAATATATATGGAAATTACGAATCATTTTGTCCTGAATGAGGAAAACATTTAAGAAATCAGTCTCATCACTTAATTTACAGACCTCGTATATGTTGGGAATTGATACGTTGTTAATGCATGCAATCCAGAGATGTGGTTGACTAGTTCATTCAGTTTATATATTGTCTTAAATAATATAAGTATCTCGTATATCGAGTGTACTCGTATTGTTTAAATAGTTAATCAATGTACTAATATATAAGTTAGTGTTTTAATTTTTTTGTGTAGCCACGGAGAAGGAAATAAATTATTTTGAGTGAGCTTTGTAGTAGGAACCTGTGTTTCTTTACACCCAAAATTCACTTAAGTACAAGAAAACTACATTATACTTGTTGTCTTCAATAAAAGAAGTAAGTGAACCAGTATGGGTCGCCATTGTTATAATTTTCATCTCCTGTATGCCTCATCGGTTAACAACCTGTACATTCTTTCGTGTCGGACCGAAATGAAAGCTTTAATCCACAGTCAAAAGTCATTAACTCCACCTAAGTTAATACCTTTATCTCCCTATTAAGAAACAATGTCGTTCAGATGTATCTCAAACCGAACATAGCCACCAGAAACCCTCTTACCGAGACCATAAACTTTGATACAAGTCTATGCATTATTTAAGTCTTATCTGAGACCACGGGAAATTAAAAAGCTTTATCGAAGGCATAACGAAAAAGGGATGTTAATACTTTTATCTTTCGTAAAGTTTATGGATGCATACCAGTCGTAAACAGGAAAATATTCTTTCAGGTTTGTCTCGAATATTGGAGATGACTATCTACGTGGCAGCGACACTGTATCGTATAAGTCGTGTTGGTATTTTTCTGAAATGGCTTCTACGTGTCGTATACTGTTTCGTGTGAGGTGAAGCTTCGGATTTTAATCTACGACCGCTGTCACAGCCATGCGTGAATTTTACGATAGTGCTTTATCTACCATATTTTACAGATTCAATGATACAGACTTGGATGAAAAATATTCTAAGGATATAGGAGTTGAATTGCTCTATCCTGTCAAATGGTTTAAAATGCCCAAGACTCGTAAAATGACCTGCCTGAAGCTTAAGGTCAAGGAAACCATAGACATTCATAAGTCACACATCTAATCAAGATTCTGAACTGTACACTGGGTATTTCAAATTCGATCCTCATCACTGAAATCTTGGAAATGGTGAGAAATACGAGATAGGTTACTGATGACTATGATACTCAGAACGAACTGAATGTTTATGAAATAACTTTTGTTTTCTGTTCACTGATGTTGCCACTTTCTCTCCTCTGCAATGTGGCATAATTATAATTTCAATATGATGTTTCGTTTCTTGTCCTCAATCATCAACGTTGTTTGTTTATGGACGTCTAATTTCTACGTGATACCTATGGAGGTGAAATTTTAAACATTGATTACGTATTTTCGTACCATCACTTACTGGCTTATAAAATGCAATGAAGTACCTAGAAAATGATTATCATTGCTCGCCACTTTATATTACTCGTATATAATAGCTTATAATCAAATAAACACTTATAGAGATAAGCAATCCAAAAAAGTGACAGAATTAGCAAGGTAATTTTCAAAAAATCATACCTTTTAGGTCGGTGGTCCAACATCATTCTCAAAGAAATAGCGAACTGTCAAAAACTGTCAAGATGGCTTGGTTATCACTGTCTATGATCGTCTATAAACGGCGTTTATAGATTTAATAAATTATTGCTGCGTCCTAAATGCACTCGTATATGTATGGAGGTGACAATTTCCCATGCACAATATTTTGTTTCGTTTTGTGTTAGTTATTTGGTTTTATAGAAAGTCAATTCCGTATAAAATAGTAAAATAACATAAATTAGTCAAACAACTTAGGAGATTTTTTTTCTTGTGATATATTATGCTAAGTGGACCTTGCACACGACATGGAGGTGAAGTCTAAAATAATAATTCAAATATGTTTTAGAATTTTGTATAAAGTCTAAGCAAAACTAACAATTTAAATTGCGCTGATGAATCATAGATGGAAATTAAATAAATATTTGGGTATTTAATAGACATGCACAAAAAAAATCGCAAAAATGAGAATTATTTTTAAGTACCTAAATGGGCAGCTTTACTTTGAGAAAAAGCAATCTCAGCTTACAACACAGATATAGTATTTATAGCAGCAATCAAGTGGATTGATTTGTCATATCATAAATGCCGAAATCCTATAAATTTTAATTCCTTTGAGCCTATGCAGCAAAATAAAGTTTTCTCCTCAGTTTAATGGCCGTCGTAAATAGCGTAATAGCCCGTAAAAGTGATATAATATAAACTGTTTTGCAAAATATTTATTGATATCATCCACGCTGAGGTCACAGAAGATAAAAGAGCAATCAACTCCACAATAGATGCTTATAAATAGAAATCATGGTACATAAACAATTGAATTTAACTTTTACATAACTAGACCTGACTTGCAGTGCCTCCTTGTGCTATATACTGCAAACTCTGTTCGATAAATTACTGAAAGTAATTGATTCAAAGGCACATTTTTAATGCCAATTATTAACACATCTTGAAGACAAAACGTTGTGGCAGCACTATTACCAAATGCTCTATTTTATCGACCGACTTGCCCAATGTTCTCCAAACAGCCTATCCATCATGGTTGCCAGAACGACTTAGGTTTGTGACGACAAAAAAATGTTGTCAAGTCCAGGTAGAACCACCGGTTTAAACAAACGAATACACAATAAATTATAATTCAACTTTCAATTTTATTGTGAGCGTCGAGCAATAATACTTAATTTTTTTATATGTTTTGTGTTTATTCACGATAATAATAGTAAATGGCCTTTATTCCACACATCATTTCAAATTAATAGACTTAATAGGAAAAAGAAAAAAGTCACGAATATGTGTCACCTTACAAATGATAAAACACTATAATGAAGGCAAAGTACATAAATTTCGCATCACACAGTTGACAACATTGGTCACGAAAAAAGAAAAGCATGAAATATTCCACCTTTAGTGAAAGGAAACAATTAGTTACCTGTAGAGATGAGTGAAGTTAAATTCTAGCCACAATTTGCCATAAAGTTACTAAGGTTGGATTCTTCAAACTCAGTTCACAGGCAGTTATATACTCGTAGTTTGGGTACCCAATACGAGAAACTACATATGAGCATAGCTCTGGAATGCCAGGGGATGAGTAATGTGCGTTAATTCCTAGAGGATCTTCGATCGTACTGAAAGCTTTAAATACGAAGTGGTTATGACTATGCGCTCATATAAAAAAGTATGTTAAGAATATTTATTTCGAATGAAAATAGACGGATTTTGGACAAAAATGCCTAAATTGCGAGCCTTGGTCTACTAGAAGACAATTCAGTACCAAAATATAAAGGCACATGTTGAAAAATGCTTAAATCTAATCGACGGGATGAACTTGAAATTTCAGTTATTTTCAAGGTCGGAAAAGCCCACCATGAACTCAGATTATTATCTTATATTTAAACCTTGGAGTGCAAGTCTTATCACCTCTTATCACCTCTTATCCATACAAAAAAGCGAAGACACTAAGACAAAAATATAACTCTCGAGTCGAAAATACCCTATTGTGCAGGCGCTGATGGAGGTAGTCTATCTAAATCATTTTATTAAGCTCATCTAAGTGTTTTTTGATGATTACTGACTCATTATTATCAAATGCTTTTTATTCTGAAGCAATTTATTCGGCGTTATCTGCACATCTCTCACCGAAAAGAACTTTGCATATGAATGTGATGCGTAATACCATGCACTCATGTAGAAACACTAACCATATCAAAAATGAGTCAGATGTATTTGTGGTACTAACAGGAAATTCGCACACATAACATAAATAAGATGATCCTGCTAATTTTTATCTGTGATGTTGTTGGGTGAGCATGGATAGGTCATTAGTATACAGGGTGGTTATATAAGTAAATGTAAATGTCTGCCCAGACTGTCAGCATTACGTCTGAACCACAATACGGAGAGCGGATGGTTATAGGGATAGTATTATCCGCGAAAATATGTTCAAAACGTGTGGATAGATCAGCATATCTTGGAAAATACGTTTCTCAGAGACAACTGTACGACACAATTGTAAGGTTTCAAAAGAAGAATCTGATGGTGATTTTCAACGTGACCTAGACAATGACCTTCAAGGTCATTTTGAAGTCACGGCAGCTTTGTTTAATAAAACCCCTATTTTTATCACCGGAAACGTAAAGAGCGGAAAATTTTATGTTAAATTATATCTTTGCCTACGACCTTCACCACGATTTTCATGGGTGTTTAATAGTGTCCAGAAAGGGGAAATGACAAACCATCTAGAGAAATACGTTTCATAAAGAACAATGTTGTGTAATAAAATCGTAAGGTTTGAAAAGGCTAAGCTAGTAAAGACGCGACTTTGACTACGACCTTCAAGCTCATTTGAAGATCAGGACAGTTCTCCGAAATGGAATCCCCTTTTTGATACCGGAAATAAAAAGGACAAGTGACCTTATTTTCAAGTCTGTCCATGACCTTGACTATGACCATTCAGGTCACCTTAGGATCAAATAAATGTTTAACGAGAAATACCATTTCGCCTGAAAAGCAAATTGCTGACAATTTAAAGTTGAAGTATATCCTTGTCATTGGACCTAATCATGACCTTTAAGGTCATTTGAAGAGCACATCAGATAAATTTCTAAGCAAACTCCTTACTTTTTGCCGAGAACATAAAAACAAAATATTGAAATAATAATCGCCAATATTTTATTCTGGACAATGTACTACACTGTTGCGTCCTCAACTTCCAGGTCTCTCATCAGAGAGAAAGTCGCTCCTAGCTTTCTTCTCTCCAACTCATTGACAGATATCGGCTTGTCACACAGAATGGCTGCATGCACAGTGCTGTCATCGGCAGATCTGCGGATCAAATTGATCGTGCAGGAGAGGAGGTAACAGAATAAATGTTGGGGCCAACACCAATCCACGATGTTCCAAAAGGAGCTTCTGTAGGTGATGTTGATGTGACCTTGATTCCGACATTCAAGATCAAGACAGTTTTTTCTAAAGACACCGAAAATGTAATGAATGGGAAGTTTTACGTTAAAATATATTTTTGGCCATGACCTCGACCACGATCCTAATGGATAGTTTAAAACCTTAAACTTGACCTTGACTATGACCTTCAAGCTCATTTGAATAGGAGAAACCGTCAATTGGTACTACGGATATCTTGCAACCGGAAAGCATGGCAGCCGTCCAACTGCAAAACCGCTCTGGGAGGCCATCGAGTCGAAGCTCATCACAAAACTGGACGAGTTCACAGCTGTGAGACGTAAGCTAGGATTTTTCACTTCGATAGATGATGTCGGAAGCCATACTGCTTGTCGCTAGTCATGCCTTGACGTTCGAGATACTCTAGAAGCTCGCTATTTATGCACTTTTCCATCACCTTGCTAATAACAGAAAGCACAGCTACCTGTCCGTAGTTGTAAGGATTGGTCTTAGATCCTTTTTTGAACAGTCAGGACGTGAACAAATGTTTATAGGATAAGTAAATAATACCACCGAAGCAAATTTTCAAACGGCCTCCATATCTGGGAATTCGACTGAAGCAGTTAAATGAATTTCTGATTGAAGTTTTTACCGATTTTTACCGAACTGAATCACCCAGTATGTGTTGTTGCAAGCTACTACAGCACACGCTAATGAAACATTTTGAAGCATGCTATTAGTCATCGGGAAGCAGTCACTGAGCGTGGAGGATTATGGGTCGAGAACCAGCAATAAGCGTATGTACACCATTAAGTACTCGAAACATCGAATTCAATCTAACAGGATTATAAATAAACTTAAGGCATGTTAATCGCACCATATGCAAGCTAAGCTGATACGGTTATGGTCACATCACAAATCACTTTACACGAGATACAGATAAAAAAATCAAACCTTAAAAATAAAGGCTACTATAAAAGCTTAGCAATATGACTTAACAGACAGACGCAGGAGGATGCATGTTGAGACATGTCCATGACTGCATGGTAGTCACCAGCAGCACGTCGCTTGATTTAGTTGTTCATTCGCATTGTCAGGGTAAAGTGCGGACTATAGCACGTAGCGAGATGAGTTATAACTTTACGCGTGGCTTAAGCATAGACCACTGCTTAGAACAAATGGCGGTTGCATCAAAGAATGATTGTCCTCATTGTACGACTGTATTCAGGTGCAACAGAGAATTCCAAAGGGGCAATTTCACTCTGAAGGACGCTGAGAGGGAAGGAAGGCCGCGAAGATCATTAACAGAGAAAAACATTACTGCTGCGAGGAAGATGCTTGACGAAGGCCGGAACGTGACATACCAACAGATAGAGGAGATCTTACACCTTCATGCAACAGCAACTTATTCAGTTCTGCATGACAATTTACACGTGAGGAAACTTTGGTCTCTCTGGCCACCGCATAGTCTGACGGAAGAGCAGAAGACTCGTCGTACGACTTGGTGTCGAAAGATGCTGAAGATGAAATGAAAAGACATTTCTTAGAATTCTATATTATCTACCCACTTCTCCAGCAATATTATTACAAATTACCACTTGCTTGTGAGACCGTTCATTATTCATAGCAACTAAGCAAACTGCTTAAGGTATTAATTACCCCTCTAATGAAACAACTGAGAGAGCACGACATCCAGACATCAATTCCCTCGTCCGGGTATTACTGACCTCTCCAGCCCTGAAACATCAACAAATACTACATTTCTAGTCATTTGGTACACCACCTCAGAGTAGAGTTGAGTTTGTTACAAAAGGATCAGGACGGGGGATTTAAACTGTCATGTACGTTCTGATGAAGAACAATATTTTCGAAAGATTGACATGAACAAACTTCCTGTCTGGCCTGGATTTCTGTCTTAACTGGTCAGCCAGTCTTGGCGTTTACAAAAGAACCGTAAGTAAGACTTCGCTGACTGAAACTACTCCATTCTATATCATTTATGATGCGTCAAAATAAATAACGCCAGTGTACTGACTATATACTTCGGCTTTTGAGCACAAGGTTAAAAATCTATGACTTGTGCAACAAACATAGCTGAAACGGGTGCAGAGGGGTATGTTACCAGTAACATTTTGCGTGACATTACACACATCATCTTGTTCACCTCCCAGTTAGTTCCAAATTCCCAAAATGTCGTTTCCCTTTTGCGCTTCTACCATCTTCGAATAATATGACTGCAAAATTAACATGCCAGTTTTTGCGACAGGTGTCTGTGACATTCTTAGGACAGTCCGTGATACACAGGTTTTTTTGCGGATAATTAGCTTCTAATTAAATATAGAGAGTTCCTGTTTATATTACTATGAAGAATGAATCCTCGTTTAAAACAGACATTTCACAGAACATCAGTTTTTCTCTCCTATTCAGAGAATCATGTAAGTGGTGATAACAGTAAAATTTTCGAGTTTCCATTTCTGACAGTCCATGATATCTACTCTCACTTTAAGCCTTCACACTAAGGAATCAAATTGAACTAGTCCGCGATTCCTGACAACTAGGTGAGAAACATATGCTAAATCCATCGTATGTAAAGTTATTGCTGCATCTTTTGCCATTTTGTCAGTCCATGGCGGATAAAATTGCTTATAAATGTTTAAAAAGCATTGTCAGACTGATCATACCGGATGTAAAAAGAGTAACAGAACGGCTGTAACAAGGTCAGACTTTTAGTCACTTTTTATGAGACTTCAATTTTGATCTTGGATTTGACCCTAAGCCTCACCTTTAAGGGTATTTCAAGGTAAAATTTTCACTCCAGCACTTGAAATCACTTGTAAAGGTTAAATAAAGGTCAAATATGTGAAATTTGAGTTGAAAACACCTAGAAGCTCAGTAGGAAACCGTGAGTTTCACCTTTAAAGTCATTTCAAGGTCAACTTTTTCAAGCTGGGAACAAATTTTTTACTTCTGGTAATGGAAAATGGTTCCTCAACGCCTCACAAATTTGATCTTCATTTAACCTTTAGAGGTGACCTTGATCTTCGATTTAAGTGCATATTCTGATGTACAATTTTTCGATTTTTTGGTTACCGGTGTTAAAAGGAACTTTTAATAAAAAACGCACGTTGACGCTGAAGTAACCCAAATTAGTGAAGCTTAAAGTCAAGTCCAAGGTCAACAGTAACAAAGCCACCGCATTAGTTTTCTTACACTCGGTACAAGCGAAATAAATTCCAGCAAAGTATGGAACGTGGAATTAACTGATACCTTTTCATAGGTGCTAAGGTCAGCTGAGCATTTTTTGTCACTTCATTTACTACTTTTGATGCGCTATTGAAAATTGTGTACTCCTCTCATGTCACGGATATCATGTGTCCTGACAAAAGGTTCACCATTTACAACATGTTTCACCAACTAATTCAGATCAGAAGGAGCCAGTTAAGTGCACTTGATTTTCTGACAGTTCAGTCATTAAATTCGTAATTCTAGAAAACATTTTCAAAATAGCGTGTATTTGCAGAGAACTGTGGTATTATACGTACTACTTCCTACATAATTTGCAAATAGAGCACAACCTTAATGAGGATAGTTATTTCCGCCGGGAAGTATTATTATTAGTACGTTGTTACAACGTTGTCACGTTGGTAGGCATTGGTAGACAAATGAGCCGAAGGTATACACTAAAATTACATTTACTACAAAACTGTACACATATAAATATCTTTGATTCAATGGTGCTAGAGGGCTCCGTGTTACGCTTTGGAACTGAAAATTGCAATAGGATTCACGAAGGAACCGTTTCGAAACGAATCAATGCCATGAAATCGAATCCCCGAATGGAACCATCCGACCTAGCTCTACCGCAGAGGTGTACGTAAGCAGCACAAATTGTTGTAAGAGACTCTAAATCGAATTCTAATAGCAGCAATGAATTGATTAGTGGTTAAATGCATCTCATCCAACAGTCTTAATGGATTGTGAGCATTTAATTACTTGACGGCTAATAATGGTGGTTTGTACATTTTGAAGCTTTAATGAAATATCATGATTAATTAATGCTTTAGTTTGTGCATCGTGGTAAATGGATGAGTGTTACTGCAGTCTTCCTGGACGTAGTACTTTGTTGGTCAGGTGTGGCCCATGGCCTTCAAGTCCTGTTTTATAATATTAAGCTCTGGTAATCGAGGAATCAGATACTGTTTGGGAAACGAGGCTAGAAGAAACGAAAACGAAAAAAGAAAGCATTTTAGTTGAAAAGGCGACAAGGCACAACTGATTCTATAGATGTTGATCTAGAATGTTTAATTTATTGCAGTTTTTGCCAGAATGTTATATTTCTGATTTCATTTCCTCTACATTTTAGGACACTACCTACAGCTGAGTGATCAGTCATGAAATGCTTGTTGACACTGCAAATGTGAGATGCTAATTTATTATTTTTCTATAGCCTCGTCTGTGTGTTTTATTTGGTGGTGTTTTTATACCCGAGTATAACGAGGTTTTAGTCAGTCTATGGAGCTCAAAGGTTCAGAGACAATTCAAATACGTTCAGGTGAACTGATTCGAGGGTAATCAAGAAGATTGTTCACAGAACAGGCAATCTAAGTAGATCTGTGCTAATCCAAGAAAACCCGAGGCAACATCTGTATCTGTCGCCAATATTGCCCACTGTTGTTTATTCCACTGATGTGCAGGTATACCTCATTATCTTATCTGGTGGACACTCGAAAGAGAGAAAATCTGGGGAGCTCCAGCGATTGTCAAGAAAATCCAAGGATTTCCAAAGGAATCTTATCAGAGGAGAATTTTCGTTCCAATAGTCAGTAGCTAGCCTCTCAGTTTTGTTGGTTGTATATAGAAGAATGCTGAAAAACCGACTGAAATTGATACCTTTGCTGCTTTACCGAAAGAAAGAAGTAGAAACAGTCGCCGAAAGCCTATGTATGCTCTCCTGACCTTTTGATTCCGTTGATCCGTGGCAGTATAAGTTACGATTGGGTTTGATATTTGTAATGACTTCATATAAGCAGCTATAATAATGAATGCTTCATATTATACATGGTGTTCATTTGAAAACTTTCCACCACGGATTTATCGAAAACCACTGATTTAAAGAAAAAACGGCGATACACGTCAAAAGATTTGTCAAGGGGGATAACTTTTTAACCAAAAACTACTTCACTCCCTTTGTCCCTCGGCC